GACAATATAATAAATAATAAATAAAGATGTCCCACTTATTTAAGTGTCAGGTTTATTCTATTTAACAAACTATGTATTTCTCTTCAGAGGCAGGCCTTAACATTAATATCTCCCTATTTCTTTTTCTTCAGAGTCAATGTTGGAAGGCTATATCGCATGGCAGGGCTATAGCACATGGAAGAAAAAGCTCACACCAGGGCGTCTTTGGTTTCCAGGTTACCCAAATATGGAACAAAGCCTGCTGGAAGTACCGCCCAGCCTGTTCCAAATGGGACGGCACCTCACCTTTCAGGGAATACACAGATCATTGACAAAAATTTCAGCAAGCACAATGGCACCGCTCGCCTGTCTTCCTTTGCTTTTAACTGGAGAAAGTCTAACAAATTCCCTCTGGGAAGTCGGATCGGTAATGAATATAACTCCAGTCAGGATCCCAGGGAACGAGTGACCGGGTCGGAAAAACGTCCTCCGTCTGAAGGATCAGTTAGTCAGGAAGTACTCAGGACCGCTTCAAAGACCCCTTTTTCCAAAACAGCGAAACAAGACAACATGTTGGTATCCCCTGCAGAAGAATTCCGTCAGAAATGTTTGCCCGGTCTGTCTAATTCGAAGTATGTCAAAAGTTCTTTGTTAAGCAGGACTCCCTACTCTGGATTTAACGCACCAAAGCCGCAGTTGAATGGGGTTTGTGGGAACCAATCGGTGACAGGCTTGCAGAGGATTAGAGGGAATCATTTGGTCCCTCGGAGTAGCTCAGGGGAGAGCCTGGGGAGATCCACAGACAATGTCCCACCCTCTTGTGAAAAAATGGTCCGGTCGCAAAGCTTCTCACATTCCCTTCAAAGCTCTCTCTTGCCTCCTGCATCTCTTACCAGATCCCACTCGTTTAACAGAGCAGTGGATCTGACAAGGCCTTACCAAAATCAACACCTGGCTCTTAGACCATCCCAGAGGTCGAATCTCCTGTCAAGAAGTGCGCGCCAGTTAGACGCGCCCAACGGGAATGAACCTCTGAGGTACGAATTGCCTAGGTCGTTGGCTGCTCTAGCACCTTCCCATGTCAAGAAACAGTCCCTCTTCAACGGTTCGGGGGACGCCTCTCCCCTGAGATTCAGATCAGGCCGCCCTTCATTGCTGAAGCCCGTGAGCCAGCCTTTGGGTAGAAAGATCCCCGTGGATGGCAGCGCCAGGAAAGACCCCGCAAATAGTCTAATGGAAGATCTGGAAGATTCCGCGGACGCTGAAAGAGATGCCGATGCAAAAGAAACTCAGAGCAACGATTTTGTAGAGAGCAGCTATAAAATGTGCATGGATGGCGACGTGGATGAAATATCAATATCTTCCCTGTCCTCTTCGGAGAAAAATGACCTTAGTGAAGATTTTAGCGATGATTTCATAGATCTGGAAGATCCCGGCCGAACCATGCTAATTGGAGAAGAGAAAGTTCCTGCTGAAAAGCTGGAAGGTAGAAACGGAATACCACCACAATTGCTATCTTTTCAGGAAAACGAGAAGTCGAACTGCAACAACGAGGAATGGCTGCATATACATATGTCAGGTAAATAGGCAGGGTGTTTTTTTTCCAGTGCTTATTTTAGAAGCTAATGGAACAGATAACATGCTGGTACCTCTTATCAAATAACCATTCCACTATTTAACTTCTTTTTTTTAAAATAAATTTTTTATTAATTTTCTAATTTTACATTTAGGTATTTAAAAAGCAACATGGTGGCTGGGTAATAATTAATAATTAATAATAATAAAAAAGTTGGAAGGGATCTTGGAGGTCATCTAGTCCAACCCCCTGCTCAGGCAGGAAACCCTATACCATTTCGGACAAATGGCTGTCCAGTCTCTTCTTAAAAACTTCCAGTGTTGGAGCATTCACTGCTTCTGGAGGTAGCTTGTTCCACTGGTTAATTCTACTATTTCATATTTAAGCTAATACAATTCTTATTATATCAACTAAATAAAAACATCATTATTACATTTATCAATAGGTTTTTAGCTTATACAGATCTTAATTACTTTTACATTCAATCTTTACATTCAATCAATGTCCTGTTATTAGTTTTTCCCAATTTTTAGTTTCCCATCAATATTCAAATTTAACATTTGACATTTATAATTTCCAGGTTTTAGGTAACCAAAGTTTCCTTTATCTCAATTCATAACAGAGTCTAATATTCCAAATATGCATCTTATCTATTTGGATATAACCTTGTTCTATTTCCTAAAAGTTATCTATTTCCCCTCAGCTTACAGCATCTAATTAATAATACCGTATCCCCTTTAATAAATCAAAGCCCATTTGATATATATTGTCTGGGTTAATCAATAAATCAAACATATTCATAATATTTTTTCTTTTTCTTTTGGTTCTAATTCTTAAGTATTAAACAAATAGCATCCTTATTTTTAACTAATTTCCAAATATTTTAAATTTAATGACCAAAATTTCCCTTCTCTCTATTAACTTCTTTATTAATGTTGTTAATCCTGAACATTCGGCATTTGAAAGTCCAAATGTACATTCGCTTTTCAAGTAATGTTAAAATTGAGATAATATTAATAATAATAATAATAATAATAATAATAATAATAATAATAATAATAATAATAATAAAGTTGGAAGGGACCTTGGAGGTCATCTAGTCCAACCCCCTCCTCAGGCAGGAAACCCTATACCATTTCGGACCAATGGCTGTCCAGTCTCTTCTTGAAAACTTCCAGGGTTGGAGCATTCACCGCTTCTGGAGGCAGGTTGTTCCACTGGTTAGTTTATTTATTTATTTATTTATTTATTAATTACATTTATATCCCGCCCTTCTCCTTACGGACTCAGGGCGGCTGACAATTAGATAAAATACTAACATATATACATATTATACCTGATTAAAATTTGATTAAAACGAAATATTTAAATATGTCCAATTAAAAGTAATTAAAACCCCTTTAAAATCCCTTAGGCCAGTCCCG